GGACAAGGATTGGCCGCACGCACACACACACACACACACACACACACACACACACACACACACGGGTTAAACAGCGAGGGCACTATTTAGAACCGACCAACGATCGTGTCTGTAATAACTATGTTACGAGCTATGTTTACTCTGCTATTGTTACACTGTTGACATAGCCGTATACAGCGACCATGTTCATGGGCCAGTAACCAGGTTGGATAATCACCCATATATCTATACTTAATAGCAGTAGTTCACCGTTTCGCTTGACACTTTCTAATCCCTCTCACTGGTAACTGCTAATGCCCTATTAATGAACACTAATAGATACCACTGGCCTAGTTCTAATGACCCATAATTTGTATTTACTTTACGTATTATCAATCACAATGCGTTTGCTAACGGTTTGGCGGTGTAGCGATACGATTCCATACAATAGGTTTTGTTACGTAGTAGATCGCGTGGACGGTTTCTAACAGAAGTTAGAGTCAGAATGAGTTCTCAGATCAGACATAAATGCTCGCGTTCATACGTAATGTGTCGCGTATATCTAGGTAATATTCATTATACTTTGTATATATGCATATCTATACATGTGTATTTAAATAGCGTATAGTATATTAAAGTTGATTGTTTATTAGTTTATATGTATTTAAATAGTTGATCGTGTATCGTAAGGATTTTCATCATACTTCGTATATGTATATCTTCGTATGTATTATTAGGTTTCCTAATTATTATATTTCGTATATGTATAAACTATCAAGATCTAATAATACATTTATGTATTATCAGCTCTTGATACCATGGGTAACTTCGTCATTCACCACATAACTCAACCCGCATGACTCGATCTATAAGTAATATGAGATCATTTACCTCTCACTCGCGGTGCCACCATGCAGAACGCTGTAACAACCACAGGCGAACAAACAACGCGATTATTTCCGTGGATTAATAACAGAATTTCCTGCTACTTTCACCGCAATATGGAATCACGGTGATTGCCTGTGATCGTTTAGAACTTGTACGAAATTATGCTATTCGAATTACTCTGTGATAAATGGGAAGAATCTATTCACAAATCTAGCCCGACAGGTTTCAAGAGCGCGGGTGAATAGCACACGCGGCATTTTGAGCAGAAGCCTTGGGATGGTTAGGGTCAATTTGATTTTAGTGATGTCCCGCGTGCAAGATGCGCAAGATTTCTATACGCGAGTTGCGTCGCCTGCGTTTTTATGGCGACAAGGTTCTCCGACACGACGTACGCTACACTGGAGACGCACCTGTGAGTTGGACCTCTTGATTACTAATTACCATACCCCTCGCATGAGGTCATGCCGTAAATTATGAGCATTACAATTGTTGATTTTGGTTAATCGCGCACGTCCCTGTTCTGGGTACCTCCGCCTGAAGCCGACAAAGCGCTCGTTGTGTTACTGATGCGCGCATAACGAGCGATGTTAGTAAGTAAGTAAGTGTATCTCGAGCGCGGTGGCGGAGTCCAGGGCAAAGGTGGCTGGCTGGCTGTCGTTCACAGTTCTTGCGAGGGTTGCCACGCATGACGATAAACGCTATATCCACCGCATCGTCGTTATCGTCAGCGTGTGTGCGAGGGCGTCTCCTGGTGTTTACGTGTGGGTGAGCATGCAAGGACTACGTTGACGGATCTCGTGATAGTTTCCGTTTGACGTGTTGGGTACGTCATTTGAGAATTTACTATACGTTCGTGCGTGAGTGCGTGCGTGAGGGTGGTGCTTCTACTGCTGTTGTTGTTGTTGTTGCTGCTGCTGCTGCTACTGCTGTTACTTTTGCTGCTTCTGCTGCTGCTACTACTGCTGTTGCTGCTACTACTGCTGCTGTTGTTGTTGTTGCTGCTGCTACTACTACTACTACTACTGCTGCTGCTGCTGCTGCTGCTGTTGCTGCTGCTGCAGAGAGACACGCGGTTTCTGACTGTACAGCTAGCTGTTGGCGTGGTGCCCACGTGTGTCGTTCTCACATCTTGTCCACGCAGCAGGGAAACACTAAGCTGTAGAGCCAGCGTCGGTTAGACGCGAAACGGATGCTCTCTCTTTACACTATACTACTCTCTACATATACACTGCTAATCTCTCTCTCTCCCTCTCTCCCTCTCTCCCTCTCTCTCTCGCTGTCTCTCTCTCTATACACTACTACTCTCTCTCTATACACTACTACTCTCTCTCTCTATTATACACTGCTAATCTCTCACCATCCCACGTCGCGTGAGCACGTACTGCACGCACTGTTCGGAGGAAAGCTGCAGGACGAGTATCAGCATTAGTAGCATATCTGCATTGATGGTGAGTATAGTTGATTTAGAGTTTAAATTTTGTCCGTACAAGCGTAGTCAATGTTTTCGGCTTTGCGTTGTGATCACGACTCTCTTACGTTAAGTTTTGAACTATTCTGAGCTACGCGCCAATCAGCGGTGTTTTTAAACCCTAAGAGTACCTCAACGAAATCGTATCGAACCGTATATATCGGTATGAAATTGATTTCAGAGCTACCTAGTCGTGAATGTTGTGATGACAGCAGCTTGGTTGAACAGAAAGTATTTATGTATCCCTGGATATGCTGCCGTTACTGCTTCTGACAACGGGTCCCCTTGAATTATCATAGTAACATTTAGTTTTACGAATCTAGGTAACTATTACGCGTGTTCAGGCCCGGAGTACAAAGTCTGAAAGTAATAGCTCCTTACAGATAGGTCAAACGTAAACTGAAAGGCAAAGATCAACAGCAAAATAAGGTGCAAATAAGCATTAAGGTGAAAAACTGAGCAAATATGTGCCGAGACTATTTCCATTGGCTCTTGTTTCTCATTCAGTTGTTTATGCATGGCAAATTTCTCGTCATGATATGGCAGCCGTGAAACTTGCAAAATGACAAATGAAATAGCAGTTTTATTGATAGGGTCATATACTAATTTAGACTTGTTTAATAGTACTTTCTAGTAGTAATTGTATGCGCAATATACATTTAGGCAGCTGCGTGGCATGCGATTTTCAGGTCCATAACATACTTTTACTTGATTTAAGAAGTGAAACAGAGAGCGTGACCAAAACAACATTCACTATCACAATTTGCGTGTATGTTTATTTGCTTTTAGCGCAGCTTTACAATATTGCTTGCTTGTTTGCTCTGTTAATCTCATACGTGTTTAAAATACAACCTAGGTGTTTCTTCACACAGCCGCGCACTACAAACACACACACACCACAACACACACACACACACACACACACACATACACACACCACACACGCACACACATATACACACTACACAACACATACACACGCAGCAACACACCCCACACAGGCAGCACACCACACACCGTGCGCGTGGCCACGCACACGCACACGTTAGCACCCACATACACACACAAGGACGTCAACACACCACACATCGCACACCGCACACACCACACACATCACACACACCACACAACACACACCACACACACACACACGGCACACACACACACACTACGACACACATCCTCCTAGCACACACACACAACGCAAGCGGCGGGGGTCATGGATAAACCCCACACAGCACACAACACACCACACACCACACACAACACACACACGACACATACACACACACATACACACACACACGCACACCCAGTCGTCACAGGCACACCCACACCACACTACATGCACATATCACACACACATACAACACACACGACGCACACACACACCACACACCAACACACGCAACGGCACACACAATTGTGTGCATGTGCGTGTGCGTGTGTTTTATGGCTCTGTCAGCACATTGACGGATTTAGACAGGCGTAATGCCGGACAGTCATCAAATCTTCTCTAAAACGCTGGCATACGCTGACTAATAGAATGTTTTTTTCCAATTTTGGGCGTATACATAGCGTGATTCATAACGAGTTGGACGATACTTAACGTAATTAGTAACGTATATGAAGCGTTTCGATAATCTTATAAAGAATAACTCATACGAAACGGATGCTATGCGTGTTGCGGGCGTTCACGAAACTTATGGCCAACGATAGTCCTAACTTATGCATAGGCGCGCGTAGGTATCGCCGACAGATCTACGTGTCGTAGCCTATAAAAAGACTGCGCTCAAGCGATTCAAATCATAACGCGCACTAGACATCACAGTATGCAACATCAGCCGTCCGCAGTATCAAGCATGCCAATACCATTTTTATATACCAATTCTCCTAAACGCTGCGAATACGCCATTAGTACGGTAGCTGTAAGTTAGAAACACGTTCAGTAAGTTCTGTGGTCGGTCCGGAACCACGTCAAATAGTCTAGCATATCGTCATATGCGTTGTGAACTAAGTTACACATACGGTTCAAAGCAGCGTTACTCATAAGTTAGAAAATAAGTTTTGGGTACGCTAGACATTATCTCGACGTAGTTTCGGACTTATGAGTTAACTTAGCAAGTACGTGTGTGAACGTGTGTCCAAGCGATCGGCAGAACTATACCTACACTTATGGCCGCGTATGCGGGACGTATGGGCAGTACGCTGGCATAGCGTCGGAAAATTTTGAGCATGCTCAAAATTGTTTTGACGACCTCGGCCGTACTACGACGTATACCATGGCGTGCTTCAGCGTGCCTTCAGCGTGCTCTTAACTTATACAAAACCTTAACCATAATTTTTCGACGCAGCGCCGCG